TACAGATAGTATCCACCCATAGTATCTCACCTAACACTCAAAATCAACATGGGGTACACAGTTACTTCTATTTTTGTCCTATACATAAAGAAACTGGGACCTAGAGAGTCCAAGCAATTTGCTCTGTCCACTGAAAGGGGGCAGAGCAAAATTAGAACTCAGACTCCCCAACTCCCTTCCAGACCTTTCTTTACATACACAGTGATGTTCTTTAAGCTGTCCTGCTTTGAAATACTGTAAAGGTAGAATGCAGTGCTTCTGGGGACTGTGGTGTCCTGGTGGTCCACTTCCATCTTATCACAGAAGTGGCTAGGCTTTAGATATGAGATTTTAGGGTCTCTCTATTCCTATAACGTAGGACAGTGCAGCTCACATAGTAGGCCCCCATAAATGTTTGATGTGTAAATGAGCAAATGAATAATTGAATGAGTAGACCTCAGCTTTCCTGATTCCTAGTCAAATTTGCCTCCCACTACAGCACTCTGCTTCCTGCACTTTCATTGATCTGAAAATCTAAAATCAGTTTTCAGACCTTAAAAAAAAAAAGCCAATGGACCTTTTGCTGAGTGGAAATGCAAGAAGCAGGTCAGGAGGTGGGGAGAGGAAAGAGATTCTCTACGTGGAAGAAATTGAGGCAGGGACTGGCTTTGCACTGCAATTGAAGGACACCCAGCCCAAGGAGCTGTCCTTGATTGGTCCCTGACTCCTGATCTCTGGGCAGGGGAGGCAAGAGCCAATCCCATCCCTTCTGCTGTTGGACACGTAGGACTTTGGCCTCCAGCCAGAACCCATGCTTCAGAACAGAGGAGGACCACTAAGCAGGAAATGTGGCCGCCTCATTCACAACCTCTTCTGAATTTCATTTGTGACAAACCACTCTTCATAAACCTCAGAACTGCCCATCGTCACCGGGGTGAGGGACGCAGTGCTGCTGAGAGGGAAAAACAATTAGAAATACAATTAGTGTTATAAAAGCTGGTCATAAATATTGGAGTTCTCTCTCTGGAGAGGAGGGACAAGATGACAGCTCACAATTCCTTGTATTGACAAAAGAGGAAACAGTCCATGAAACTGGTCATTTGCCTGGGTATTTTTATCTATCAGATCCCAGAGTAGGAACAAGGGAAGCATGAATGATCGGATTAGCTGCCCAGCCTTTATGTGCTTTTGCAGCATCAGCAATATGCAATTACTGCAACCCGCACACAGACGTGGCATGCACACACACACACACACACACACACACACGCATGCACGCACACACCAGCATAGGAGGAGACCTTCCCATGCAGCTAGGCAGAGACAACCACAGGCTGGGACACTCCCATCCCACAACAGGCAGGGATGAACTTCACCAAGTCCAGATGTAGAGAAAAATGAGTATCCTTCCCTCCGAGTTGTTTCTCCTCATTCCTGGAGGAGAATGACAAAACCAAAGCCATCCTCTAATACCCCATCTCTCTCTCAAGGGCCCGAGCCCCTTGTGATGCCCTTTGAGTTGGTATTGTTTGTGCCTTGGCCTTTGCTTCCAAGAGTCCATTTGGTTGTTCCTTGGGTGGTCTTGGCTCCACAACATGCTCGATGTGGCAAGGCCTGTTCATTTGGCAGCCCCGGACTCTCCAGTGTGTAGCTTTTCTGTTTCCACTTTCTGCAACTCCAGGGTGCCTCTAGGTCCCCTGGTGGGGCTGGTGGGGGTTGAGCAGGGCAGAGGGTGAGTATGAGGGCTGCAAGTTCCCTGTCCTGCTTGGGACAGAGGCCCCTCTCCGCAGGCATGTGCAACCACCTGGCACCTATGCCCACCAGCAGGAAGCAGAGCTCCCCTAGCCGGCGGCACTGTGCCAGCATGGCAGATGGGCATGTGTGTCAGCTGCCAAGGGACCTCCAATAGGTTCCAAATAGGTCTGCATTTTTTGAGGGCAGGACATTCTCTCCTTTGGCTCCTCTTCTTACAGATAGAACCAGTTGATGAAAAACCATCTATCTCATATTGCCTTGGTTCCTCTGTGCGTCTGATTCCACTTACCTGCATTACTGGCCTCTCAACTTTTTCCTTAGTGGGGAGGATGAAAAGATGGATGGGACGCATATATGCTTCCTCTACTATTTCCATATTCCTACATATGTTCTGAGGGTGTGCACCTCTGCACAGAGAAGCATGGAATCCCATAATCTGCCCGCTGAGGCTTTTCTTTCTCCTGACAAAACCCATAATTTCAGGTTGATTACTGGAACGTGGTGGGAAGCCCACTGCCTCATGGGCAGCGCCTCCTTTGTTAGTTGATGGTTGTTGGACAGTATTTGCATCCAGATTAATTCCAGCTTTGCCCTGAAGCAACTGAGAACAAATCTGCCTTCTCTTCCCATATGACAGCCCTTCAAATATTTTAAACCAGTGTTCACATCCTTGAAGAGTCTTCGCTTCTCCGGGCTAAGTATTTCCTGTCCCATCAATTCCTACATACTTTGAGTGACAGTAGGATCCAGATTACTTATTAGGATTATATAGTAGATTTTTGAAATAACAGATGCTGAATTCAGATAGACCTGGGATCGAATCACCCTCATTCAGGGGGGTTGACTGAATGGAGACTTGGTGGTCCTGGTCTTAGCTGTCATCAATTACAATTCATTATCTGGATTGGATTAAACAGCATTTACTGAACTATTTCTAAGTGGTAAGGAACCTATTCTTACCAAAAATGAGTATGATTTATATTTTGGAAATTAAAAGGCAGGTAGATAGAGGCAACCTAGCTTCCCTTGAGTCATACAGCTAGTCTATGACAAAGCAAGAAAAAGTGGTGGCTTTTGAACTTGTGGCTTTTGTTTCCAGTCAAGCATGCTTCCATGACCAGCACAGTTGCTACATTGGAGGCGGAATAGGGGATTGGAAATGCATATGGTGTGCATATGTAACTATAGACTTGTACAGCAAAAAGTTGAAGGCTAGCCAACACCTGTCAACACAATTATTCCATGAGTGGGGGAGAAAGTGGGCCGGGAGGGATGGAAGGGAATTTTCACGCTTTACTCTCTATTCTCTTTTATTGTTTGAATGTTTTTAAGAATACAATATATTCAACTAATTTTCGTGTATTTAAAACACACATAAGATGCTTAGACTCAGACTGTACCTTCAAGTTGGTTAAAATACAGTGGGTGAGTGGGTGAGCCAAAGTTACTCAGGAATAAAGAGAAGTCCCCAGTGTGAGAGATAGTATAATCTAGTGGCTAAAATAATGGACTTTGGAGCTCCAGAGTGTGGATTCCAGTCACAGGTTTACCTCTTTCTAATGCTATAATGTGTATAATGTGAACAAGTTAACTGATCTCTTTATTCCTCCATGTCTTCATTTACAAAATGTAGATAATAACTTTTCGTATGTATCATATAGGCTATTTCTGTCAAGAATAAAGAACTCCTTCGGTTTAAAAAATTGAGGTATAATTTACATACATTAAAATTAACTCTTTCTATTGTACAGTTGATGAGTTTTGACAAATGCATAAAGTCATGTAACCACTACCACAGTGAGGATATAGAAAAATTTCATCGACTTCTCAAATCCCCTTGGGTCCCTTCACTTTCAGCCACTCTCCCACCCTCAGTCCCTGGAAACCACAAATCTGTTTTCTGTTTCTATAGCTTGCCTTTCCCAGAATATCTTATAAATGTAATATATACATAGCCTTTTGATTCTGGCTTCTTTCACTTCGAATAATAAATCTGAGATGTAACCGTGTTGTTGTATATGTCAGTAGTTCATTTCTTTTTATTGCTGAGTAGGATTCCACTGATGATGAACTACAGTTTGTGTCCTCGTTCACTAGACGAACGGCTTGTTGGGCTTGTTTCCAGTTTTTGGTGATTATGAATAAAGTTTCTATAAGCATTGACATACAGGTTTCATGTGAATCTAAGTTTGTTTTACATGTAAACACTGCAATTGCTATGTCACATGACAAGTATGTATTTAGCTTTATAGGAAACTGCCAGACTGTTTTCCAAAATGGCCATATCATTTTGCATTCTCACCAGTAATGACAGACAGTTCCAGTTGCCCCATATTCTCCCAGCACTTGGTATTGTCATTTATTTATTTATTTTTAATTTTAGCCATATAAATACATAGGCAGTGTATCTCATTATAGTTTTAATTTGTATTTTTTTCTTTATAAAAATTAAAAAAAAAATAGAGACAGGGTCTCACTATGTTGCTCAGGCTGGTCTTGAACTCCTGGGCTCAAGTGCTCCTCCCACTGCAGCCTCCCAAAGTATTGGAATTACAGGCATGAGCCACCATGCCCAACCTTAATTTGTGTTTTTTTAATAAATAAGTAAGGTTGAACATCTTTTCATGTTATTGTTTGCTATTTGTGTATCTTTGGTGAAATGACCATTGCTTATTTTTTTTTAAATGTGTTGTGATTTTTCTTACTGTTGAGTTTGAAAGTTGTTGGCGTATTCTAGATTTGAGTCTTTTGTCAGATATGTGTTTTGGAAATATTTTCTCTCAGCCTGTGACTTATTTGTTATTTTAAGAGTGTCTTTTAAAGAGAAGTTTTAAGAGTTGATAAAATTCACTATACCATGGATCATGGTTTTAGCGTCATATCTAAGAGATTCTACCTAACCTAAGCTCCCAAAAGTTTTCTCTTATGTTTTCTTTTAAAAGTTTTGCTGGGCACGGTGGCTCAAGCCTGTAATCCCAACACTTTGGGAGGCCGAGGTGGGTGGATCATGAGGTCAAGAGATCGAGACCATTCTGGTCAACATGGTGAAACCCCGTCTCTACTAAAAATACAAAAAATTAGCTGGGCATGGTGGCGCGTGCCTGTAATCCCAGCTACTCAGGAGGCTGAGGCTAGAGAATTGCCTGAACCCAGGAGGCGGAGGTTGCGGTGAGCCGAGATCACGCCATTGCACTCCAGCCTGGGTGAAAAGAGTGAAATTCGGTCTCAAAAAAAAAAAAAAGTTTTATAGTTTTATGTTTTATGTTCAAGACTATGTTTTATTTTGGGTTACATTGTGTATATGGTGTGAGGTAAGGATGGATACCTCTGATGCCACAGCTGCTGCTGGGCTTCTTGGATCCTTCATCTTCCTCTTGGCCATGCTATTCATATTTTTTAAAGACGTTTTATGTAATGCCTATGCTAATATTTACATCCCTGCCTAACTAGGCTGGCTTCTGCTGCCCTGGGCATTTTTTTGACTCAAGCAGGATGGAGTTTCAATCTTCTCAGGCTACTCATTAGCTATTTCCTACTCATAGCATCAAAGTATGCCAAGAGCTGAAAGTTGCTTCATGTGTAGACTTTGAAGTATAGATTCAGCAAGGGCTCCAGATGTTAACATTTCTACCTAAGATACCTGCTATGGTTTGGATATTTGTCTCTTCCATACCTCATGTTGAAATTTGGTCTCCAGTGTTGGAGGTGGGAACTCGTGGTAGGTGTTTGGGTCATGGAAGCGGATCTCTCATGCATAATGCTGTGGGTGGGGGTTGAGTGAGTTTTCTTACCATGTGATGATCTCTTTGCACATGCTGGCTTTGCTTCCACTTTCTGCAGTGACTTGAAGTAACCAGATGCCCTTACCAGATGCAGATGCCCAATCTTGAACTTCTTAAGCCACCAGAATTGTGAGCCAATAAGTCTCTTTTCTTTATAAACTTCCCAGGCTCAGATATTCTGTTAGAACAATACAAAGTGGAATAAAACAGTACCCAAACAAGACTTAGATGCCTAAGCTTGGGCCAGGAGAAAATAGAGTTATTAGAGTCTTTAGCCTGAAAAGGTCCTTGGAAAATTTCTTTGTCCCTATTCCTTTGCTACTGGTCGGGATCTTACACAAATCATCCCAGATAGAAGAGTCCCCAAAGATGGTGCAGCCTTCCTTAGTTATTATCTCAAGCGTCAATCTGGATTTAGGTATTTTGGTATTGGTATTTAGGCATATGGTATCTATGAAGAAGTAGTTAGTCGGGGGGCAGAGGCAGGCCGTGGGATCAGAAAGAGACCAGAGGTAGGGTGGAGAGAGGATGGAGAGAATGGGAAATTGGAAATCCAAGCACCTAAGTTCTCTCACATTCCAGGCATTCTAAACGTGACGGCGCTGCTCTGGAGCAGACACAGCAGGATCCTGCTATGCTTCCTTGGCCAAATTACCACATGCCCTCAGGCTGCTGTTCCTCCTCTGTGGAATGGGGGAACTAGGAACCGCCATCACTGCCACCAACTACGCCACCACTACAACTAACCTTTATCAGTGTTTTCTACCTGTCAGGTTCTTCCTGCGCATTTTCTCATTCAGTACTAACAGTAACCTGAGGGAAGTGTTCTTATCAAGTCCATTTTACAGATGAGGAAATAAAGGCTCAGTGAGGTCAAGAAATATGCCCAAATTCATACATCCCCTAACGTCCCCCTGAAAGGATGAAATTATATAACTGGAAGTCCTACCCATCACTGCTCCATTTTATAGATGATCACTATATACTAACAAAAGCATAAAGCTCAGGCTTCCTAACAGGAAATGCAATGATTTAGCTTATAGCAAAGACCATTGACTTTCAGGGAGTTAGAGATCCTGGGTTGTCAACCTAGACCTTGCTCTAAATCATCCAGAAACTTGAATTTGTCTTGCCTAGGACTTCATTTCTCCCTCGTGAAAATACAGGGTCCATGGAGAGGATTTCTCAGACTCTTTCAGGCACTCGTCTTCTGTAATTTTATGACTCTCATTTTCTTTGTCTGTAACTTCAGAGTCACAAAGAGATGTTCGCTTGGATTGAAGTTACCCGAGATGGGCTCCACTGGTGTTGAGAGAAGAGTGAGAAGATGCAGGCTTAGTTTACGTAGAAAGGGGAAGGATTCAGATCAGAATGGCGTTCCCGCTTCTTTCTGCTTTTCTGTATCTCATGCATCTTTCAAGACTCTGCGCTCAAGGTCCACATCATCTGGGAGGCTTTCCAGTGCCAGCCTGGCAGAGGGACTCCTTTGTAAATATAATCTCTGTGTGCAGCACAGTCTGAGCTGCATTAATTAATTCATTAACGTACTTATTTATACCTGCCTTTTGCCAAAGTGGCGTTATGGTGGCTTACACAGATATGTGAAACACAGTGTGATAACACGTATTAGAAGGAAATGGGAAAGGAAAATAGAAGAACAAAGGAAGGAATGTCACAGGGGATCAGGAATGAGGCTAATCCAGGGATGCAGAACTTGAAGCCCCTAGAAACCTACTACTGGCGGGCTCTGATTCAGAATCTAAAGTTTCCGGCAGCCAATCTGAACACAATTTACAGTGCCTGTAATACGGGAGAAAAAAAGAAGGAAAGAAAGGAAGAGGAAAGAGAAAGAGAGAGAAAAGAAGAAAGAAGAGGAGGACGAGGAGAGGAAGGGAGGGAGGGCGGGAGGGACAGAGGGAAGAATGTTCAGAAGAAGCCCAACTTTTCCTGATGCTGAACCAGAAAGAGCTTTTCCTGGAGTCCTTCCTAAGAGCTCTGTGTTATGTAAACAGCATCCTCACCACCCTCACAGTAGACTAGCTCCTCATTCCTTGAGGCTGCTCCCTGTAGCATCATCCTTCAACACAGGCCAAACTTTAGCTCAGAAAAACAGCTCCACAGGGGACCAGAGGGATATGGTCCAATAGACAGCTCTCTGCTGACCTGGCTAAACCCCGGGGCCGTTGTTGATACTTCTAGAGAGATGAATGTACCGCATCCTCTTCAGGCAATCTTTCATACAGTTTGTTTCTCTCAGCTGGGTTTTTGATGGACACTGCATGGCAGTGAGTTCAAGACTACATTCCCTGCCAAATACCTGAAGTGCAGCTATTGGGTTGCCAGTTAAAGGCGGACCCATATGCCTTACAAACACACAAACAGTTGAAATCCATCAACGTTGGAGTAGGGTTATCATTCTCTTATGAAAATTGATGAGCCTAACTAGGACCTATGCCTGATGAGGGCCACCCCCTTGGCTCTGGGCTGAGCTGAAGGAGTTTGCAGGGTATTTGATCTGCCTGCCAAGCCCCCAAGCCATGAGTGTCTGTCCTACAGGATGGGGTGATTGCTCTGGGAGTGGAGGCACTTGGATATTGCCATTTCTAAAATGAGAGGTTTTGTCTATAGGATCTCCAAGCTCCCCGCCAGCATGAACATTGCTCATTCTAGAAGGAAACTACTCCATGGGAGGAGGGCTGCTAAACACTAGAAAATCTGCCATTGAAACGGTAAAATTGTCTGTCTCAGAGTTGTAGAGACCCATGCTGTCTGGGGGAAATGGGAATGAATCTGCCTGGAGCCAGGGGGCTGGCCGATTGCCTCTGGAATGCTTACCGTGGTGCGCTCGGTGGTGGGTATGTAGCTGGTACATCTGTCTGTGTCTAAGAGTGCATGGCCTGGCCACAGCTGTCTGTGTTCACTTGGGTCCACATCTCCCTCTTCATGTGAAAACGTGTGTGTACACGAGTCCATGGTTATTCTACTCCTCCCCAGTGGCAGCCGTGGCACCGAGAGCCCCTCTCCAGAGTCTGCTGGGAAAGATATTAGGCAGCACAGGACTCCCCTCACAGAAACACAATGAATGTTCCTGCAAGCAGTTAGAAAGTCATGACTCTAACCCAGTGGTGTTCGTGGAGGGGCTTCTTCAGAAGCAAAGCAGAGAAGACAGAACCAAAATCTTTGGGGTAATTAGGTTTCTGGAGTACAGAAACCTCTTAAGTCATTGAGAGTCAGAAAGGACCCTGTCCTGAAATCATACATCAGGCCAGGCTGAGTCCCGAGGCTTCCCTGAACCACCCCCTTCGCTCCCCACAGTAAACAGGCAGTTGGCCATGTGGCAGCCCCTCTTCACATTCCTGCATCACAGCTCCCCTTCTGTGGAGACCCAACCTGACCCACATAAGAACACAGTTGTTACTTAGGAGGCACAGGGAGGCTGAGCTAGGGAGCTGATCTTCATGCCTTCGGGGCCAGGCTCCGCAAGCCCAAGAGATGGTCTTTTGTCTGGAGGGAGAGGGGTTCACGGAGTAGAAGGATGGCTGGGATAACTGAACAAAAATTTCTTTCACCTTGTGGGTCCTTGTCAAGGACCTAAAGGAAAACTTCCAACCTACTTCCTTCCAATTCTCAAACTGCCCCTTTGCCCACCCTCCACCGGTTATGGGCCTTGTGAGAGGCTGAAAGATTGGCAGGGGAGAGAGTGTAAATCATAAGAGGGGCAAGAATGGGCTGACCTTACTCCCAGCCTTCAGCCTTCCCTGCTTCCCTTAGATGGAGAGGGAAGTGGGGCCCTCCTGGGTTCTCCTGTGTTCCCAGGAGTCCCAACTCCCACCTCCTTGCTTTTCCCTTAAGGGCTCAGTGTGAGGCCCTAGATAAAAGGTGTTTCCTGCCAGGGCTGTCAGAGAGCTAGCCCAGGTAGCAGTTAAGAAGAATAAAAGCAATCGGAATTCTTGGGCTGCAGTGGCACGCAGCCCTTCAGGGCATTTATGGAAAGTAGATTAAGAAATCTTTTTCCAGATAAGAGAGCCCTGTAAAGAGGCCAAAGAAAGGGAAAAACACCCCCCTTTGATCACAAGGGATTGTAATTACTCAGATATTGATTGGGATAATAAGTTTGCCAAAACTCTAGAGAAGGAGAGATATTCCTGCAGGTATTTTGCTTTTGCAGAATTTGCCCGAGTTCTCCTGTGAAGTCAAAGTCAGTTTGGAGGCCTAGGCCTGGCCCTGAGTCCCGCAGAATGGAGTTGGAGGCCTTTTCCTCCCGGCAGAAGTTCATTGCAGGCTGGGGCTCACCACCCTCCTCCAGGGGCTGTTACCACTCTCATTATTAGCATGATCATTGCCATTATTAATAACCCCTGGGACCTAATGGGGTTGAGTGTGCAGTGAGGAGAACTGAAGTCAGCCTCCAGAAGAGCGTAAGGCCCTCAGCCTAGACTCCAGAATCTTCTTCAGTAGTTTCTCTACTTCTCTTCTAGAAGCCCTCTTTTTCAAATTTCCTCTGTACCAAACTCCCAGCTTGTGCATGTGTGCATGTATGCACACACACACACGCGGACACACGTGTACATACCCTGCCTACACTCCCCCCACACTGACTGATCTTTCCTCAATTCTCACACATGCCCATCTGTCACACACAGTGGTGGAATTAGACCTTTGGCTTCGGGGTCAGACAGACCTGAGTTCAAGTCCTGCTCTGCCACTTACTAGCCCTGCAGTCCTGAGCAAACCTTCACCTTTCCCAGCCTCAGAGCCGTTTGCAGAATAGGAATAATATTACCTACCTCATCTCACGCAGTTCAGAGGATTAGATGAGACGATACGAAACATTTTGCTCAGCGCCTGCCTTATAAGAAGTGCTCCATATAAGTGTTAGCTATTGCTTCTGTTATTCTGCAGCCTTTCTCTGAGATTTCGCATGAATTCTTGCTTCTGCAAAGTTTTCTCTCATCATAGCTGTGAACCAAGGCTCTTGTCAATGTCCAAGGCCTAGCCCAGATCTCAGCTCTGTCCCTTCCAGTCTTCTCCTTGTGCTCCCAGTTGTCTGTATCTCTTACAACTCTTAATCACTGTTTGCTTTGAGTTCCGGTTTTGAGCTTGAGGACGACAGGGATGATATCTTCCTCATTGCATCTTCCTTACCCAATTCCGGAGTTTAGCACTCTGTACACCTTATATATAGTAAGCGTGCAACACGTTTTTTATTTTTTGTAATAATAGATACATTTACTGAGCAAGTATTATTGCCTTCCTTTTTATATACATTATTACATTTAATCCTCATAACGATTCTATCATGCAATTATGTACTGAAGCAATTATTCATGCAAAAAAAAAAAAAGAATTTCTTTTTTATAGATGTGGGAATTAAGACCCTGGAGAAATTAATCATTTACTGGTCACATAGCTGATGAGTGGATGAGCTTTGCTCCAAACACAGGACTATCAGTTTCCAAAGACTATGTGTCATGTACAACTAGGCTAAACCCAGCACACCTTTCATTGGCTATATCCTAACCCCAGCCAGGCTGCACACTAAGAAACTTTCAGCTCTTAGCATGCTTTGGTTCTATGAGTGGGAAGTAGCTACTGAGTAGCTTGGAAAGATTGCAACTCCATCGTGCTTGAGTCAAGAAACGCCCAGGGCAGCAGAGGCCAGCCTAGTTAAGCAGGGATGTAAATATTAGCACAGGTATTACATGAAAGGTCTTTAAAGAATATAAACAGCCTTGCCAAGGGGAAGACAGAGGACCCAAGGAGTCCAGCAGCAGCGTAGCATCAGAGGCACTTGGAAGAATATGGCGTGATGATGTGCCAGGAAGATTTGCCTGTCAACGAAAGACTCTCTAATACATCTCGGCTGACAAAAAGCAGAGGTCAGTTTCAATAGAAAAAAAGAAGGTCGGTTCCAATAGAAAAAAAAAATGCTGGTGAGGAACTGAGATTGAGGAGATAGCAGAGACCTGGCATTAGAGTTCTAGAAGTCCAGAAAGAGAAGAGTGAAGGGATACATCAAAATAAATGATTGATAATGCTAATAATAATAATAATACTGATTGATAATGTGATTGCTATGTGCCCAACACCGTGAAATGTAAGGAGGTGAGTAGCTGGGTAGTCATAACACGATAGACATGAGTATTTCAGAAACCAAGGTCACTCCTTTTTAATCTTTCTTGACTGTTGATACTTAATGGGACTCCCAACCTCATCTGATTTTCTTTTTTGAGACTGAGTTTCGCTCTTTTTGCCTGGGCTGGAGTGTGATGGCACAACCTCGGCTCAACGCAACCTCCGCCTCCTGGGTTCAAGCGATTCTCCTGCCTCAGCCTCCCGAGTAGCTGGGATTACAGGCATGCACTACCATGCCCAGCTATTTTTGTATTTCTTTTAGTAGAGATGAGGTTTCTTCATGTTGGTCAAACTGGTCTCAAACTCCCGACCTCAGTGATCCGCCTGCCTCAGCCTCCCAAAGTGCTGGGATTACAGGCATGAGCCACCGTGCCCGGCTTCATCTGATTCTTTCAACAAGCATTTGTCTCATGTCTACCCTCTGCATGCCACTAGGATGTGCCCTGGGGAGATGGATGAAACTTGTTCTCAACCTGGAGGAACTCACAGTCTAGTGGTGGATAAGGAACATCCATACCTACAATGGAGTGAGATGTTTGTTAATAGAGATATTTGCTATTATAGGTGTACAGGTGTGTTGGGAAATGGGAGGAAGGGTTCAGAGAAGAGGTGATATCTAAGTGGAGAATACTTTTCAGGATCTGGGAGTGAGGGTGGAGAGTGCAGGTAGCGCATTGTGAGCAGAGGCGACAGTTTCATAAAAGCTTGATGCTGTGAGAATGTATGTTCAAAATGGCTAAACGGGGACCCTTGCATGTCTAGGGTTGGGATATGTGAGAAGCTGCAGTAGGTAGGACCTGAAAGATATAGTGGGATAACATAGTGAAAAATATTTCAACGACATTGTTAAATCAATCATCATGTGTATTTATTGAGCATCTGCTATGTGCCAAGTATGGAAGCTGGTACTGGAACTACAATGAAAAGAAAAGCAGAGTCAGTCTCTGCTTCATCTATAGGATGACCACATGTTCCAGTTTCCTTCTTGTCCTGGAATAATTATTAAAAACAACTCCTTTCACTTTCAAAAGTGTTCCTGCTTACACTATAAGTTATATGGTCATGCTGCCTCAAAAATTTCAATCCACAGCATATAGACAAACATTGATCAAACAATCATCCAATATGTAACTTCAAATTGTGCTAGATATTATAAAAGAAAGATGCAGAGGGCCATGGCAGAAAGCACTGGAAAGAAGCTTCATTCTCCAAAGGAATTTAGACGTCTCTGAAGGCGAAACAGAGACAGATCAGATCTCAGTTTTAGAAGTTGTGGCATTTCTGTGCTTGTTGAAGATCTCTCTCTCTCTCTCTCTCTCTCTCTTTTCTTTTTATTTACTATTATTTTTTACAGTCGCTCTCTGTTGCCCAGGCTGGTGTGCAGTGGTGTGATCTTGGCTCATCTTTTTATTTATTTTTATTTTTTACAGTCTCTCTCTTGCCCAGGCTGGTGTGCGTGGTGTGATCTTGGCTCATCTTTTTATTTATTATTATTTTTTATAGTCTCTCTCTGTTGCCCAGGCTGGTGTGCAGTGGTGTGATCTTGGCTCACTGCAACTACCACCTCCCAGGCTCAAATAATCCTCCCATCTAAACCTCCCGAGTAGCTGGGACTACAGGCTCCTGCCACCACATCCAGCTAATTTTTGCCTTTTTTGTTTGTTTATAGAGATGGGATGTCTCATGTTGCCCAGGCTGGTCTCAAACTTCTGGACTCAAGTGACGTGCCCACCTCAGTCTCCCAAAGTGCTGGAATTACAGGCATGAGTCACTGTGTCTGGCCTCTCTCTCTTTCTCTTTAATGTCTCCTAGTTATTAACAATAAGAATTAGGAAAAAAAACCCTCTTTTTATTGTATAGCCTTTCACAATGTAGATGTACTTTTTCTCATCAGTGTTGCAGAGTGAAAAGTTCAAAGCAAATATGTTGGCCAAAGCTCACTTTCTGTCCTAGCTTTGCCTAGAGCCAGCTGCGTGACCTTGGACAAGTTACTTCTCCTGAGCCTTGGTTTTCTCATATTTTATTTTATTTTTATTTTGTTTTAGAGAAAGGGTCTCACTTTGTCACCCAGGCTAAAGTGCAGTGGTGGGATCATAGCTCACTGCAGACTCAAACTCTTGGGTCCAGGTGATCCTCCTGCTTCAGCGTCCTGAGTTGCTGGGATTATAAGTGCGAGCCACCACTCCAGCCTCAGGTGTTCTCATCTTTAGGAAGGGACTGGTCATTCCCACCTGCAAGGGTGGCTGTGAGGATTGGAAATATGATGATTAAAGTGACAAGTACAGTGCTGGCCACATGGTAGACATTCAAAAAACAGCACCTACTATTATTAGGTTTTCTGAGCTTGTGATTATCTCAGAATGGGTGCTATGACTGGTGGAGAAATGCATTTCATAGAATACACACCACTCTCTACAACAGGGGAGAGAGTGGAGATCAGTGGGCAAGGAAGGGAAGGGAAAGGACTGCTAGTGTTTCTGCTGCTAGAAGGAAATTGGGTTAGAAAACAAACACCTGCCCTTTTTAATTGGACTCTACATGGCCCTTAAGAACCAGAACCTAAATGCCTGGTGTGCTAAGCAGAATATGAAAGAGACATTTAATGGTGCATGCACCAAAAATCTAGACTGCCCTGCATAACCAGGATCTCCTAGGCACGTCTGGGGAAGTCAGGCAGCGAGGCTCCATCTAACTTTTGTCTTCTCTTCCTCATTCCTCGGGCTCGCATTTAACTCTCTCTATGGGCAAAAGAGGGCCCCTGATAGAGGGATGCAGGCAGACACTGCACCCAGTTAGCTGGAGAAGAGGGGACCGAGCAGGGGGTCGGAGGGAGGAGGAACAAGGAGTCTCCGCCCAGTGGTTGTTTTGGAGCTGTGAGTGCTGTGAGCACTTCTCCCCAGGTCTGGCTTGTGTCTTGACTGGGAGACCAGGCTGCTGGAGCCTGCATCTCATTTTCTTTCCCATTTGCCTCCTGTGTTATTCTGCTGTGAGTTGGTTTTCAAGGGCTGCCATAACAAAGACCACAGCCTGGAAGGCAGTTTGTTTTCTCACTGCTCTGGAGGCTAGAAGTCCAAGATCAAGGCGTTGCCAGGATTGTTTCTTCTGAGGCCTCGCTCCTTGGCTTGTAAATGGCCACGCCCTCCCCGAATCTTCACATGGTCTTTTTTCATGCATTCCTGTCTGTGTCTAACCTCCTCCTTTTAAAATGCTGGTCATAATGGATTTGGGCCCACTCTAATGACCCCGTGTCACCTTAATTACCTCTGTAAAGGCTGGAGGTCTGTAAAGATCCTGTCTCCAAATACAGTCATATTCTGAGCTACGAGGTATTAGGACTTCAACATATGAATTTCACAGGGATGCAGTTTAGTTCATAACAGACAGCTGGGCAAGTTACATCTTTGGTTTTCGTCCCTCAAGAGAGGAAAAGTGGGTTGGTTGGCCTACTGAGCCTGTTTCCTTAGAGAGGAGTTGAATCAGGAAGCCGCAAACATCTCAAAACAGTGCAAACCCCTCTCTAAACCCTCTTAGCTTTGCCCTGAGCCAATGGGTAATCCACTGCCTGCTTTGGGGTTCCTGGATGCTTCCTCTTGCCTCCTCAAGCCTGCTCTTAGGATCTGGTATCTGCTTTGTTTTTGGTGGAGGAATAGGTGTCTAGTCTAAAATTACCTTTCCCCAGGACTGTTCAAATGTATTTGTCTTGTCTTTTGCAGATGTTCCTTTAACAGAAAGGAGCTCTCAGCCTCCAAAGATCTGGTGCAGAGAGCTCACCTACTGCAGAATGAGAGAGCCAAGGAAGTTGCTATGTTTTTTTCCATTCACCCCTTCCTTCCTCTGCAGGGAAAGGCAGGAGACCACACCTGTGTTTGTGATATCAGAGACACGCTGAGATCCACAAATGTGTCATTAGCCCACCAGGTTGGCACAGAATGGCTACATCTGAAGGTGATTTAACACAGGTAGAACCCTACTTACAGACGGGCAGGCTTCCAAGGATTTGCTTGTAGCTTAGTTATTATGAATCGGGAGTGTTTTCCTCTCATAGAAAAAGTGTTGAATGTAGGGGGAGGTTTTCAGGAGACTCCTCACAAATCTATTTAACTCACACATAATTAAAATATGAAATAAGACCATTTCT